ATAACATAACAAGGCCAGGGACATCTATACAAGATTTATTTCATTAACTACAATAGTATAGTATATACCCTAATACAGAAGGAGTGATTCAAAATCCACCAAGGGTTAAAGGTCAAAACCAAAGTCAATGACTTTATATCAAGGTCAGTTAAGTATTTCACCCACTGTTTGGTTTTTCTTGGACTAATGAATGAGTTCATATGCACAGCACCTGCTCTGGCCTTGCCATGCCTTCTGACAACTAGCACCACCAGGGACATGCCTTCATTGCCACATCCTTGTCCTGGCTGTCCTGGTAGGTGGCAAAGACTTTTTGCCTGCATTTCATCTCTAAATTACATAGACACATTTCTGTTTCTAGCCACAGCTCCCCCACAACTTCACCTGAATTGCATGGTTGTAATACTGACAAATAGGGCTCTTAAGTGAGTAAACTGTTGTCTTCTAAGTGACTATCCACAGACTTATTGCACTGGTACCCAGTCACAACACTGAAATGACATGTGAGATTCAATACAAAATATTTATTTTTTTCCAAACCACAGAATTCTCAGCCCTAAAGTCATCCTATAAATTTTCCAGATTTGTAATCCATTAACATTTTTCTGAACAATGCAGTCCAATCTGAAAGGAAGATAATTTCCAACTAGCAGGGGTGCAATGTATACTGGAGTCCCATGAGAATAAATCTATGATTAGCATTTTCTTGACTTCTCCCCCAGCTGCCCCAGCAACACGAGCAGAAACAGCACCTATACTTGTGCCACTTGACTCTGGAGAGATGTTCAAAATAGGGTCTTGGAGAGTGGAAGAGGGAGGTGCCAGGGACTAGTTAATCAATACAGGGGAAGAAGAGGAATCATTTCCCTTGAGAAGAACAGAGCTCCTTTCATATATTCTGGTGGCCAGAAACTCAGGCAAATTTTGACAGAGTAATGAAAGTAATAGGAAAGCTATTTCTCCACCAACTCCTATGACTTCCATTTTAACTTCTGATAAAAATAAACTTCATCTTATATAAACTTATTGAAAACAGTAATCACACCCAAAAAGGTCCTCTAAATTTCTTATAAGTTTCAAAGGATTCACATTCTGACCTTGAATTTCAAAGTCCCCTTAAGAGGTCTAGAACTGGATTAAAGTAAACATAATATCCCAAGCTAAAAGTTCAATGACACACACACACAAATCAACTCAAAACATCCAAACAATGGCTGGATAGCTAAAGAAGGCTTTTTTGTTTTCTTTTTTTTCCTTTTTTTTTATTGGGCTTTTTTGTTTTACTTTTTAATTGTAAATTTTTTGTTATCTCAGATTAGTGTATATCCATAAAACAATGCTCAGTTAGTTTAATAATAGCTGCTTATTGAACAATTGAATTTTAGCTCAAGGGCAATGCCTCTTTCTTAATAACCACAGAAATAATTAACTGCTATAAGACGGGGTGGCGTTGGGGGGGGGGAAACACAGGCTGCCTCAATAAGAAGACAAAATATGGAAGGGCTATTTACTGTATACAGGGAGATTCAAGAGGATTATTTAAATACTATGGTACAAATGCTCCTGCTTACTTTATAACTGCAGAAACCAATTGGGTTTGCCAGATCACCATTACCTTTGCCAATAGATGTACAGACCACTCTGAAGTTACCCTTTTGTGCTGAAAACCTTCAAATTCCTTGTTTGGTCAGTACAGAATATTTCGAGGTGATGCACATGCAAACTCTTCCTGAGGAATTATTTAAGTGTGCAAATTTGCAACCCAACAGAATGCCTGGGATACATACAGCAAGGGGAGTGGGGCTGCTGGGCAAGTCTGAGCACTGGAGACGTGTGCACTGTTCCTGGTCATGGGCATCCATTCCTTTGTAATCCCACCACCCAAAAATTAGATTCCATTCTAATGAAAGGGAGGAAAACTGCTATAATTTTTTAACAGGAACAGGAAAAAATGTGACTTTGCCATGAAAGTTATAAAGCAGGAGTCATACAACAGTTTGGTGCTTCTTTTCACTGATTCTGCCTAGGAACTATTGGGCTAAGAGTCACGACATCAGGTTTTGCTTTCTACCCCCAAAGAAAATGAAGCAGTAATTCCTGTCGGGTTAGGGTGCAGCAGTGACAACAGAAGTCAAGAGATAGGACACTGTTATTGAGGCTTAAAGCTAACCTTTAAAATAAGTAACAACTCTCTAATTATTATCCATTTACTTTTACATGTTATTAACTCAAGATGACTGACCCAGCTTTCTTGTTAAGGATCTAGTTTCAGGTTGTACATACATACTAGTCAGTTTTGCCAAATCAACTGCATGTGTTGTCTAACCAATCAACCAGCATGTACAATATTCTATCTTCAATGATTTGGGTTTTCAATGATTTGATACAAAAGCCAGTATTTAGCTGGCATGGAAAAACTATACACTGTGCTGGCAAGAAGAATACAAGGAAACACGAGAAGAACATACTTCCTGGCAAACCGTACACAGTCAATACAAAATGGAAGGGGCCAAGTTGTATTTCTTCATGCTGCAAACTAAAAAAAAAAAATGTCAAGAATTTCAATTAATAAGCAAGGTCACTTTCAACTTAAAGTAATTTTTTTTTTTTGGTTTTTTTTTTTTACACTGCAACATACTTCAAGGGGCTAAAGATGTGTTCAACCACCAAGACACATGCCTTGGGGAATGTGCACAGCCTTCCTGTATGCCTTCCAATAATGGCTTTGTGGTACCAAACCTTAACTCACAGCTGGCTGCAGCCATTGTGCAAAAAGTAGAAAAACGAAATTCTGCAGACGTTCCTTCACCTACTTTTTTGTTAACACATACACAACAATAAAAGGAATTAAAGTATTTTCCATTAACTTATAATGCAAAAACATCGTACATAAGATATTAATGCCAATTCTCATCATAATACAGTGCTGTCTTAGGGAAAGTTCTGTTCTTGGCCAAAAATGAATGCTCTCTCCCAGAAAAAAGCACTTGGTTACATTATCAGGATACTGAAGAATTCACCCATGTGTAAAGAAATGCTTCAATTTTATTCCTTTGAGAAATATCATTAAAGCCACTCAGGAGAGACTTCAGTTCCAGGTATATTTATAAGCCTACGGAAAGCACTCCATTGAGAAAAGTAAAATTTGGGCTTCATGATAAAATGGAATTCTTTCTTGACACTAGAATGTTACTGGTGTAGCAAATCAAGCTATACAGGTCATAGTGAAGGCCTGTATGTGTTCTTACAGTAATTCAGTGTTCATTACACAATCTAAGATGCAAACAGAGTGAAATGAGTCCAATTAAAGCCCTCCACAAAATCCACCCATTCTGGATGATAAGTACTTAAAAATATATCTGAGAACCTTCGCTTAATTTTACCCCTCTGCAGAATAATTTTTTACAAATCAAAGACTTTCTATTAGATAACATACCATGTGCCCAGTATCGCACTTCTAGCTCTTCCACCCATGACACTCCCCAAAAAAGGACATACTGAACTGGCAGAGGCAGCTCTATGAAAAACTTGCAGATCAGGTGTGTCTTCTTTCCCTGCCAAGTTTTCTGGACAGATCAGGACCAGTGTGACCAGTCTGATAAGGCCCAGGAAAATGAAGGCTATGTTTAATCTACATTTAAGAAAAAATGAGTAGAAAAATATTCTCCCCTTGCCACACTTTCTATTTTTATTTGACTTTCAAAGCCAAACAGAATTAGCTTCAGAGACTTTTATGAACAACTAAACAGCCCTGCAGGTATGGTGAAACAGAAAACATGGCTTTGCTACAACTGGAAGGGGACCTTAAAAAAGAGCAGAACTTCTTCCCTACTGAGCTCAAATGTCAAATATAATATTTAAAAGATGCAGAGCACAGATTCTACCTTTTTAAAGTACTTATCACCCATTAAAATGAAATGGATCAGGAACTCCACACCACGGATTATATTTGGTTTTAATAACTATCACTTCCCAGAATGTCGTAGGAAGCAGCTCTTGCTGTTGGACAATCTCCACAATATTAAAAGGGGGCAGAGGCATTAGTACTGCAGGGCTGCCCACCCCTGAATTACGGCTGCCCATGCCAGAGCGGCTGGTGAATCAGGTAAGGTGATGGCAGGAATGCAAATGCTCTACAAGAGTTGGTCCCCACACGAACATGAACACGCCTGGTGCAGTAGGGGAAATCTGACCAATGTGCAACACGTTTCCATTCTCCCACTTAATTAGCATCCTATAAGTCACCCACCATCTTAGTGGGTTGGTTTGGAATACCATCACCTTCTCCAGGAAGTACTTGTGAGTTTGACAACACTGCCACACAGTTGCAAAGTGCACAAAGCTCAAGGCACAGAGTAGAAAGTTGAGAACTGATGAGGGAAAAGTTCTAATGAAAGTAGTTAGCATTCTCCTTGAACAAGACTTCCTAATACTAAACAAAGATCAACTCTTATTTTTAAAGGAGCTGTTTGGGTTATGGGTGAAAACACTGTATTGTAACCATTTGCTTGGTTTTAAAGCAAAAGATATCTTGACATGTGAAACCAATATGCTGTTAAGTCCCAAGTCCACAGATGAACAAAACAAGTGCTTTAAAAAAAAAAAAAAAAAAAAAGATTCTTCTGCCCTTATATTTTTGGAGGAAGCTGCTGATTTTGGCTGTCAGATTTCACTCAGCAATAGTCAATTTCCCCGAAGCTTGTTCCTCATAGAATCTGTAGATAAACTCATTAAAAGATTGTCCCATTTCAAAATCACCCCCAACTCTAGCAGCAACTGTTTTCATGTTTTTGTTTCTTGTTAGTTTTTTGTTTTTTTTAAAATTACAAACCAAAGTAAGAAGTCCAGCATTCTCTCCCAAGAACAGCCTTGTGACAGAGCTCCTGAGTGTCGAAGGCCCCGCTGTGCTCAGAACACAGTCTCTGCAGCTCCAGTGTGTCCTCTCCTCGGGAGGAAAGTACATTCAACACATTCACTATCTGTATCCCCTGGAACTTGCACATGCAGATGAGCTGTCTGAAAAAAGGTCAAAACAGGATAATGCATGAGGAGCAGATAGCATATGAGGATGGCAGGAGTCTGTTTATCCAACTTGTATGTCTTAATCCTCTCCCCCAAGAGGACTTAGGAAAAAATCCCCATAAAATCATAGGGTTCTGAGTAAAGTCAAAAAGGGGCCAAGAGCATCAGAAACTAACCCTGGGGCATTGCCCCATCCTTGCAGATATTAAGGAATCCAGTGGCCTCCTGACAGCTGCCTCAAGAGCCTGACCCTGGTTACACATGGCACCTCAGCACCATTAAGAACACAAGGGACATGACACACTGTGTGGGTATCCTACTGGCTGCCCTAGCACAAGACCACCCAAAAAGGGAAGGAACTTTGCCACTTACTGTAAGCCAACTCATCCCCAGCTCTCTTCCGGGACTGGTCACCTCTGGGGAAAGGAAAAAGAAGGCAGTTAACAGACCTGACTGATTTCTTGACACACCACAAGAGAATGAACAAATCAGCACAATTCATAGTAAAGTACAGCAAATATTTCAATTCTAACCCAACTACCTGTTATAAATAGACATTAGGGGCTGAAGGCCATAGCTCAATGGCAGAGAGCTTGCAAAGCGCATGTGGAGCACTGGGTTCCATCCCCAGCAGCACCACATAATTAATACATAAATGTATTCTGTCCATCTACAACAAAAAATTATTTAAAAACAAAAACTAAAATAAAATAGACATTAAACATAAGCTGATTTGTACCCTGAATGTTCTTAACTAAGGGTATGGTCTTTTAAATATGAAGACTCATCTATAAGATGGTTTACACTGAGTTCTAAAAATAAGTTCATATTAAAATATATCTTTGAAGGCAAATCTGGGTTCTGCTATCAACCTCCCTAGTGACGTGCATATACTAGGGCAAATTTCAAATATGAAATTTAAAATTTTAGCTATTCCCCATAAGCCCCACTGAACCAAAAACTCCTAAAGCGTTTGAAAACTCTCAGAACCCATGACTTTAAATCTTCCACAAGCCAGTGGCTTCCAGATTTAATATAAAGCACTGATCTCTGTTATTGTGTGGATATAAGGTATCCCTCAAAAGTTTGTGGGTAAAACGATCAACCAGTAAATTAATCCCCATTGATGGGATTAACTGGTAGCCGGAGGCTGGGAGGGTGTGGCTGGATGAAGTGGGTCATTGGGATACATATTTTGTATCTGGAGAGTGGGTATCTCTCACTCACTTACTCACTCTCCTCCTTGATCATCATTTGAGCTGCTTCTCTTTGCCACACTCTTCATTTGCAAGCCCAACTGCCTCATCACCAGTATCTATGCACTGTAAATTGACCATGGCAAAAAACAGTGCCATTTCCACTCCATCCCCACCTCTTTCTCAGTCTCCATCTCAATAACACATCCATCCCAGTTTCTCAGGCCAAAAGTCAAGGTCATCCGTGATTTCTCTCTTCCCTTTACCCTGGAGTATTTTGTTCCACATACAATCCTGAGTCAAGCACTGTCACCAAATCTACCACTATGGCCTCAATCCAAGCCACTATCACCTCTCCCCTCTGCAATTGCATGAGACTTAACTAAGTTTAGACAAAAGCTACACTGGTCTTAGGTAAAAGCAAACCTAAGATTAGTTCACACCTTTGATTAAAGTCTTTATGACTTCCCATTACAGTTAAAAATCAATCCCAATCCATTTTCCCAGCCTGGTGACATGGCTCCTGCCTGATTCTCCAACCTCATTTTTTACCTCTGTTCATTACATTATAGCCACCCTGGCTCTCTGTCCCTTTGGACATGTCAACACTTTTGTCTTTAGGATTTTCTCTATCTGTAACACTCCCCCCCTCAGGCAGTCACACAGCTGTCTCCTTTCTGCCCAGCTCCAACATCTCCCCTTCAGAGGACATTCCATTAGGTCAGTTGGAACAGCCCTTCACACTATCTCATTCATTCCCTGTTTAATTTTCTTCACAGCACCTATTAGTACTTATATTTTGTTATTTGCCTATAACATTAGAACAGAAATTCCAGAAAAGCTGGTACTTTTCCTATCTTATACACTCTAGTACCTAAAAGAATTATAGCACACAGAGACACTTAATATTTGTTGAACTAACAAATTAATGAATGACATGAGCTCACAGATAGACTATTAAAATGCTAGCCTGAGTATGTCTTACACCATCACTTCAATTACCCAAACAACGAAGCCTAATATTCCTAACACAAAGCCACTGCTACCATTTACTCTGAAAGACCACAGTAATGGAAGATTTCAAAGAATCTAAAAAGTATCCAAAGCCCCCCCCAGCCCACCCCTTCTTTCTCTGGTTGTTTCAGACAAGGGCAGACACCTCTTGGTAGGCTTGGTGAGGAGCCTTCATGATTGGCAAAGACCACACCACCTGATCCCCAGAAGGTTTTCCAGCTGATCATTCAAGGAAAATCATGACCACCTTGGGCTAGCAGATTTCTGAGCAGTCTGCCCTCACACCACTTTCTAAATAGTTCTGTTGCTAACCTAACACTTTGCCAAAACCAGCAGAGTGACTTACACTGTTATTTATACTGGTATCATTTGAGTACCATTCAACAAATATTCTAAAAGAAATAAGTTAATGCTAACTAAAAATGAAAACAAGTGATTTTATATATGGAAACTTAACTTCTACATGCAACCTTTATCACTACCCCTCAACAGTTAAAATAAAAGCCAAATGTGCACAAACAACAGGAGAAAAATACAGATGTGAAAACAACAGCAGGCGGGAAGAAAGAATGTGAATTAAGTATGCCATCAATGTTATCTACTCCCATGAATCTTCAAAGCTATAAGATGCCCTCAAATCCAGATCCCTGCTACTAAACAAAAAGCTCAAATTTGGGGTGACCCTCTCAGCTAAAAGACCAGCAATACTTTTACAAGGTTCTACTTTGTTCCAGAAATGTGGGTAACCATGTCTCAGAATGAACATCATATTTGCCTTTATAAACTCCCTGGAACACTCTCAGTAGGGGGTCATAGGTTGGTCTGGATGAGAATGCTCCTGCTAGGGCCTGCATTTTTTTAATATGTTCCCAAATAAGCCTATCTTCATGTGATTTTTGTTTGATAAGAGACACTGAATTTCTGCTTTTCCCCAATCAATTCAATTATTCATGTAAGAGAAAACTATTGCTTTGAGCTTATGTTAGTTCTAGCTATGAAATAAGTATATCCCATAAGTTCTTTTTTTAATATTTATTTTTAGTTGTAGTTGAACACAGTACCTTTACTTTATTTTTATGTGGTGCTGAGGATGGAACTCAGGACCTCACATATGCTAGGTGAGCGCTCTATATTGTTGAGCCACAAACCCAGCTAAATACCCTATATTATATTTCACAAAAACTCCTGGTCAGATGAAAATCTGACCACTAACCTCAGAGGAGGATATATTTGACAACATTCTCATATTACTTCATGACATTTCAAAGACTTCCTCTGCACTGGTCACATTAAAGTTGTGGGGCTGTTTCTTCAGGGATCCTAATCACATAAGTGGAACATCATCTTAAATGAAAAAGCAGTTTGTAACACTGAAACCACAAAATGACTGCTCATGTCAGAATAACCAGTAACAGAATTTTTATTGATAGAAAAAGAAAAACATTTAAATAATATACTATCAGTGGACACTGTTTCTTCCAAAACAATCCTAGCCAAACACTGATCAAAGAAAGCATTAAACTTGACAGGACAGAATGTGGAAGGTGCATGAGCTCAAGAGTGGGGTACAAATACATGCATGAAGACATGAATTAGTGTGAATATACTTTGTATACAACCATGGATATAAATAATTGTGCTCTACATGTGAAATAAGAATTATAATGCATTCCACTGTCATATACAAATAAACAAATTAATTAAAAAAAGAGTGGGTACAAAATGTCAGTTTTGTACTCTGTGGTAAGCACCTGTCAGAATTTATGAACCAGAGTTTAATCTTTATAGCAAGGCATAATAAAGTGTTAATTAATTTATTTTTTGGTACCAGGGATTGAATCCAGGGCTGCTTCACCACTGAGCTAAGTCCCCAGCCCTTTTTATCTTTTTATTATTTATTTTCAGACAGAGTCTCACTAAGTTCTCAGGGCCTCACTAATTTACTGAGGCTGAACTTGTGATTCTCCTGCTTCAGTCTCCTGAATTACGGGGATCAGAGCCACCATACCCGCCTATAAAGT